TACCATGTGGGGCAATTATCAGTCTTTCGTTTACACAAGCGCAAAATCAAGAAACAAGTGCTGAATATTTCGATAACCTCTTTCAACTAATTGCAAAGTCAGTCGTGACAGATAATCCTAAGATGTTTTTTTTTTAAGAAATCTAAAGCGTACTACTCCTTTAATTAAGCGCCTTCCTCTAAAAAGGAACACGTTTGAGGGCAAAAATATAAAACAACTCTATAGGCGGCCCATCCTCATGATGATTATGGCCCTAGATAATTGCAACATCTAAACCTGCAGCCTGTATTCGGAAAATGCAATCAAAACAGGAGTTCAGAACCACTGTAAAAGTCTAAAGCAGTGCTGAATGTAAATCTACCCAAATGTCGAAGGTTTTTCATTCGAAGTAGCTATACTACTTTTCTATTCCGCCCAACACTTGGACTAAGAAAGCGGTGAAACGTACAGCAAGCCCCAGTAGAGTGCTTGCAAGTCTTATTTATCCATCAAAACGAAAGAGTGGTTGACATTTCACTGTGTTTCGGTTTTACTGTTTAATCTCTCCTTGATAACACAGTGTGTCCGTGTGCTTTTCAATTCCTATTGAGCCAACACAGTCTACATCTCTATGTCCGCAAGGTCGTGCGTACATTACGTGAGTTGTGAAATATGATTTTAAAGCAGAGGCCCTCAAATTATATAACGCAGAAAATTAACTACAAAAAAAAAGTGCTTAAGGGATTAACTGGCTATCATTAAGGGAAAAAAAACCTACATAAAACAGTCAAAACAAAACAAAAAAATACAATAATAATAATAATAATAATAATAATAAGAAGAAGAAGAATTGTAATGATCATCTGAATATGAAAGGGATCTTCGTTGTAATGAACACTATTTAAGCAGTAGTGAATTAAGGCCCGAAAAAAAAATTCAAGCTTCTACGGGAATGGTCATACTAGACGAATAATTACTCATGACTGAAACCTATAGATATTCGTGGAAGTTTTTTTATTTAAAAACTGAACTAACTTTCTCACAAACTACATTAAGCTATAAGCCTGGCGGTATTTCATTAAAAGTATGCTTTGCTACACCAATAGTACGCACATGGCTGAATGCTGAACAATTACAAGTTTCGACTTGAGGTATCTACTATCGATCCGAAACATCAAAGTCAGAATGTCACGCCGGGTAAAATAGCTAACGCTGTTCTCTCGACGCTTTCCAGGCCGGGGCAGAGGACTTAGTGCTGGAAAAGAGATCATGTGCTCGTCTCCTACGACAACCAAATGCAAACATAAAAACACAAAACTGTTTGGAGACCAACTGCGAATATATATACAGACAACAGATGGAAAAGTGACCTTTAGTTATGATATCCTAAATCAGGGTGCTTTTTCGTCAAGTGTATAGTATGATTTACAGGGAACATCCTTCAGTTTCATTTCGAAGAAATTTCTTTAGCGTAATATTTACACTCAGAAACTCATTCAAAGTCATTTCCAAATCTACCTCGCGTCAGAGCCTATTAAACTTAAGTTGGGCTACGAAATAAAATCACAAAAGTGTATCAAAAATAGCAAGTCTAGGAGTAACTTACTTCCTTTCATTTTCCATGTTTTTGAAAGTACCTGGTGAATTTTCCCCCTTGAGAGTTTGCCACTATCACCTATGCGAGTTCACCCCCTAATTTTAAACGAGTTCGCTCCCACTATTTACCAGTTCGCCCCCCACATCATTCTACTCATTCTTGCATTTTGATCGAACCTTCTTCAGTATGGTTTCGTTATAAATAGCTTGCATGTTAGTCGCAAAAATATCATGATTTCAATAGGAAATAAACACGTTCTATGGTAGAGAAACGAGTCCAAAGGTTTTTGGGTGAACTGATCAAGGTGGCCGGGGGTGAGCTTTTTTTACGTTAGGGGGCGAACTTACGATGGGCAAATTCGCCATAAATAATTTTTGATTCATAGGTGGCGAGCAACTTTGGTCCGATCCTACCAGCTCCAAGTTGTCTTCCCTTCGCTTCTCGCTGTCAAACTTTCTCTGGGATTGAAAGTCTAAAAATTAATAATAATTGTATTTGGGCCTTTCTTAGAGCACTTCATGATACCAGTATAACGATCACAAAAAATACAAAACCAACATAAAGAAACGTGCTATAATGATTTGGGACTTTAGCATTAGGGTCCTTTAGTCCCCAGTCCTCGTAGCGGCGCGGTTGACAATAGTCTAGCCTTAATCCGCGATGCAGCTTTCCCTTGGCCAGTGCCATGCATACCTGGCAAAAAAGCGGGTGCCGCGGTTTCCACCAACGGCCGATAGTTGTGTTTAAAATGTTTCCTAGTCCCTTCCATTTCCATTCTAAATACTTATTATATGCAGTTTCGTTGTTACTGAGATATTTTAGATACTTTGCTAATTCTTTGGGGCTTTTAAAATCGCTAACTTTGATGATAGAGTTTTTGAGATTTCCAGGTAAAAACTCATCCACTTTGTCAGTGCCCATGAAAACTGGTACCGAGCCCGTGGTGAGAGCATGATAGAGCCTGTCGTCTATGAAATAATCACAGTCTTGATTCATGAAAACCAAAGAGAACTTGTAATACCTCGTTAGAACAAGCTTGTGGTCTTTGAAGACATATTTGTTGTTGATTTTCCCGTACAATCCTATAAGTCCCTCTTTGTTCTTGAGGCATGCGCCGTAAGAGTCCACTTGAATATATTTCATGAGTTGCCGCTGGTATTCCGTTCTAACGGGTTCACACTTAGAAAAGATGGCAAGAATATCTCCCTGTCGCTTGTGGAATGCTATAGGTGGATCTAACTCAGGCATGGGATAGATCGGAGCAGGAAAATCCGAGTCCAGGCGATAGCTTATAAGTAAATTGAACTGCGACATGATACGTGGGTTATACAACGTCGGCGTGTAAACAGGATTTTCGTTAGTTTGAAGAATCCACGGAGCTAAATGTTGAATCGGCGGAAGATTCGAGATTTCCGGTGGTCTAGCATGAACAACAAACGCACTAGCTTCTGCAGCGCGTGATTGATCGTTGGATAGCTCACACGGCACGGGGCATTCCCCGGGTTGACCAGCGTAAAAAAACGGCCAATAATTTGTATGATTCACGCTACTCTTTTGTACGGGCACCTTATGTCCCCTAACTCCCGACCAGTACAGTATCAATCGTTTTCGCTGCCGCTTAGGAAAGTCTTCTTTCTTCCACTTGATTAGGTTATTCCAAACCGGCGGAGGAAGAACCGGTGGTTTACCCCCACCTGCTAGCACACGGGTAGGTTTCCGAGTTCTAGCTGTTTCTTCCTTGTAAAACTGAATCACAAACAACATGGTCCTTAAAGTTACCACGAAAAAGCACCCTAGGAGAAGCGATCTCCGTTTTGAGGTCGGTCTTAACCATACCATCATCTTTGCTTCGAGGGCTCTTCCCAGCCGCTGTGTTTAATTTCGTCAAAACGCGATCACCGACTTTCAAATCGCTCCTCCCTGAGCTGTGAAAGCGAGGCTGGTGGAAAGCAATCAAGCGATAGACGAGCATTCCGCAGCAGTGAGATCATTCACCGTCATGTCGTCATTTGCTCTGAACTGTATGATGAGTGAAAATAAAGAAATTAATCACTACATGTTCGTTTGATTTAAATGAGCTTTCCACTCCCCGGAGGGGGGGGGGGGCATGGGTTAGGGGCAAAGGATGCTAAAAAGTTTAATTTGGACTTGAACCGTATAAAGTAAATTTTAAATCAATCAAATTGTGGAAGCGCAAACCAGCCTAGCATAAAACAGACAAATGAGTTTTTGAATTTTTTGCTTCGATAAGTGAACGCTATATAAACAATAGTGTGCATCTGTCCGAACACAGTGTTATCTGTGATCAGTCACAACAGGACACTTGAATGTTGCTATTTTTCCTAGGTGGGTCCGCTGTTCTGTGAATAAAACCCCACGAAAACAGGCAGGCGATAACTTCTCCACAGAGTGACCTTTGTCGTTGCTTAACTCTGATCCATACAAACCAAAATTTGAAAATGTTTTGCCTTTTTACAACTGAGCCCAAAGTATGAAAATACCTTATCATTTTGCACGTTGCTCTCGCTGAAATTACGAAAGGACAGCTTATCCGATTACGTTCCATAAAGATCAACGCAGTTTTTTTCCCGCAGACAGCACACCCACACTAGCCGAATCTCTCCAGCAAGTAGGATCACGTTGAAATAATCCAGAGTAAAGCCGTAAATTGTCGAATTACCGTAACAAAGTAAGAGTAGTAGCCACTGATGGTTTGATCAATGGTGCGTTTCAGTGTTAAATCTTCAGCAGGTACCGGCAAATTGACGACAAAGAGACCAGTTGATAAAGTCTAGTCGCTCAGGTCTTTCGAAGCTTTGTTTTTCGATCATTTGCCTTGACATTATTTCATTATCTCTTCATAGAGTATTGCCGATTAATTATATTGCTTTTTTTTACTCATTATTGAGACCAGTTGAAGTAGGAAGTACTTATTCTGAGTAATTCAAACCGACAGTAAGGTCTATCACGCGAACAATGCTCCTTTATGTCTAGCTAGTAAATTGGGCCATCTTCTTTGTTTTGATTGGCTTGAAGAACGCGACATGTTTTGTAAACATACTGTTCAAACCGCTTCAGGCGGATGGTACACTGGACGACTACGCCCGTGACGAGAAACTGATGAACGGCGAACCTAGTAGCGGGACTCTGTGCAATTCTAAAGAATTGATAACAGTTCTTTTGCAATGCAATATTCTCTAGCAACCAGCCACGAAGGATTTATCTTTTTCATAATCCTTCATTAATATCGTCCACGGTAACTCGAAACTTGAATTAAAATTGAATACAAAACTTTTTTTAAAGAACAATGACTACAGAAGAGAATATTGTGAATCTCTTCAGTTTTCAAAGGCTGACTTTTTTGTGCAGATGTAACGTGTGGTCGTGAGTTGGTATAAGAAGCATCACGTATTGTCAGCCGGCTACTGTTTTTCCAATTGCTGAACTCCGACGGGCAAATATGGAGTGGAACAAAGCACATCTGGGGAATTTGCGTTTCATCCGGTAAAAACAATCATATTTGAGTGCATAGGCTATGAATTTATTCAGGTATCTTGGAACTTGAACCGACACCAGTATAGTACAAAATATGAGACTGCATTTACTTGGCTTTGATTGGCTGAAGTGAAGAGAAATAAATTTTTCTATTTCCGGTCAAACTCAAACCGCTTTTATTGGTCACTAGAGACGATGATCTTTGAAACAATATATTATGTAAATATCACTGAATTATCTACACGTCAGAATAATGGCCAACAACACAGAGTACAGTTAATATCAGTTTTTAATATAATTTCAGTGCAGAGCAAAGAGTTTCCAGCAAACTGATTGGCCGAGGGGTTCCTTATATGACGCTATATAAACCGTTCCACGCGGTTTATATAAAATGTTAAAATAAAAGGTTAGTGAATGTTACTAAGATGTTATGATTTTAGAAATTTCTCGGTTGTTCAGCTCTAAAATTATACCAAAACAGTTATTTGCCTCAGGTTCGATTAATATTGTCAAATAATCCCCTCGAATTCGTCACGGGGATTATTCGACGATATTCACCTCGCCTTCGGCGAATAGCTGTTAAATATAGCCTTTTTAAGTCTACCTCCGATCAAGCAAAAAAACCTTTTTCCTGACGGTTAAACTTCTTCAACTTCTTCGAAGGCAGAGCCCAAAAACAATTGACTAATGAAAGTATAAACGAAGTATAAGAGTGTCTCATATAATTTTACGGGATTTTTCATCGACGCAATATATATTACCCAGAAATATAGTTGACGGTATGTGTATTACCCTGAAACATAGTCGACGGTATGTGTATTACCCTGAAACATAGTCGACGGTATGTGTATTACCCTGAAACATAGTCGACGGTATGTGTATTACCCTGAAACATAGGGGAAACTCTATATGTTCATTGTTCCTGCAATTGTTTCGGAATTGTCTCGGAACACTTGGAATTTCACGTGAAGTGAAATAGATATTTTTCGTGACGCGTTAAAAGGCACACCATATTCGCAACATTAAAACTTGATTAATCTAGTTTGTGAAGTGAAATACATTACAGAGATAAATCTAAATTGTGGTCTGGATGAAAAGTGAAAACAAAAGTAATCGGTGCCGTTGTATTTATTAAAGCGAACGAAAGAAAAGAAGGTTGAAAAACTGGAATTGAATTCCGAACGTGTTCACGACCTCAGGCCGTTTCACGGAGTTGTCAGTCCTTGCTGATAAAATGAGGTCGGAACAAATCCAAATTTGTGCAGTAATTGATCTGTTGGATGTCTGAGCAACCTGCTGTTGATAACGTATTTCTCTCTACAACTTTTGTCGCTTTCAAAGAATGATTTGATGTTAGAGAGAATGATTCAAGTAAAGCAAAGATCCTGGCAGGTAAACAGCTATTTAGTAATGGCAGAAAGAGGAAGCCTGAAAAAAAAATTAAGGCTTCGACGGAGTTTGAACGCAAGCCTCCCAGATACTTGTTTCTCTCTATTGCCAACTGAGCTACGAAACCACACGTTGGGACCGCGACAAATTTTAGAATGAATTCCAACATTAATCTCCATCAAAAAATCGACTGCAGTAACAACAACTTAGAATTACATCCTTGCGTAATCTCTTAGCGGAAAAGTTAACAGAAAAACTGTGCTGTCTTTGACTCACTTTTCAGTAGCTTATGAAATAGATCCAAACAGAAATTCCTCAATGTTCACCGGCAGAATCGGCCTCACAGCTTCCGCAAAGCGCACTTGGTAGAAATGCTCCTCATTTATTTTTCGCGGCGTATAACGGATTGATTGTTTCGTATTGGAGTTGTTTAGTGAGAGAGAGCTAGATAATCAAGTTTGGTTTAAACCAATCAGAAACCGTGGTTTTACTCCCCTGCGGAATATGTTCCTAATAAGGGGAAGAGCCCCTCATGTACGAAAGCCACGAAATATCGGAAAATATCATGCAAACAAATAAGTGTGTGGGTAAATCAACTAAAAAAACAAACGATCATAAAAATATATATCACACCGAGGACGATTGTTGGTCAATCTCATTGGAGCTTCCAAGAGGTATTTGAAAACGGTAAGAACTAAGCCATCTACTATTTGCTTTCTTCTCCAAAATCTCATTTCCGCCTTACACAAACCCCAGCTCCGAAAAACGTACCTTTTTTTTCTTTTAATAACAAACAAGTTTTTTACGATATTGACGTTGAAATTGGCGAGATTGATCATTAAAAAGATACTAAAAAACAAACAAGGCTGGGATCTTATTGAGAAAGTAGCTTTATGTTTTAATTGAAATATCTGAAAATCGATAAAATAATAAAGTGCAAATCAATAATGCGGCGGTACGACTTGAAATCTAAACTGTCCCGTTCCAAATTTAATTTTCTCACGAGTTGATGTCAAATCCAAGTTCTAAAGATAACGAATTCTATCGCAGTCGTCAGACATGTTGGATCTCACAGAAGTGACAGCTGGAACAACTGGTGTAGTTTTTCTCAGAATTTTACGTGGGGGTGTCAGGCGATAGGTCAGGGTATATCTAACGTCGCGGTTAGAAACGCTAGATGCTCTGATAATGTGCGGAAAAATGGCGCTTTAAAATCTAAGCATATAACGGGGAGTTGATTCGTGCAGTACAGCGCCATTAATAAAGATACTATATCAAAGGACCTGTGTGACCAAACTCAACAACAGTTTGTTTAGGGTATGTATAAAACGGTAGGAGTGATAGAGATACCAAATCAAAGGTTTGTAAAAAGGTAACAAGGAAATGAAACAAATTATAAAGTTATAACATGCTGTGCTGCGAGAATAATTGTATGACACTAACTCTACTGTTGAAGATGATCGTATGTCTTGAGCCCTTGTGCGCGGACCAAAGTGAAGCGGATTTTCTCAAGCCTTTTTTTTTTTTATGTAAAAGAGTACGAAACAAAGTTACTGTGGTCTTTCAGTCGGGAAACACGTTTTATCCTTTTTCTTGTCGTAAGCAATATCTTCGTTGAATCAGAAATGAGAGGAAAAGCAGCAGCTGAAAAACCGGAGCCTGCTGCTTCTAACTGACAGCTACAAAACGAGACCGACTGTGATTTTCCCAAGATGATGTCACGTGGGATTAACAAAAATTGTGTTTAAATTGCGATGAGATTAAAAGAAAAAGATATTTGCCATGCTTCCTTTTTTTAACAAATAAAGATAGACGAGATAAGAATAAATTCAACAACATTTACTCGTGATTGAGGCAGATTAAAAGTACTCCAAGTTCGTACTTTCATCAAACACGAGATACAGGCAAGTGGCGAGTTAACTTTTAGGAAAGCGTTTTGACGTCTTCATCTTATGAACTGACATAAAGCTTTTATCCAGTAAAAATTACTGGGATTTTCACCCTAAAAAATCAACATCTTTACTTACCCTTTCACGCCTTTATGAGTAAATTAAGTGCAATAAATCGAGTCAATCGTCACGGAATCCGGCAAGAGTACCATATAAGCCCATACATTAATTATGCATTCAGACAAGAGACTTTGTTTTTAACGTTTTGTCGTGAAAGACAAAGAAGTGGAATGCATAATTAATGTATGGGGTTATATGGTACTCTTTCCCTGACTTCCAAAGTGTTTTCAAGACTTAGATTTTATCTGAAGACAAAGTTCGGTGAAGATACTATTCCTGGATACTGTTGGCTGAATATCTTTTGTTTATGTGTCACGTTTCTGAAAGTTCATGAATAGTTGACTGTGTTTCCATTTCAGTGATTGAAAAAAGTCCTTCCAAATACAATGGAGCTAACGTCATCGTATTGTGAAAGCTAAAACGATTGCTACTCAAACAATAGCGTGAATAATCCAACTATGAATATAAGAACAGATATTATAACTTAGAGTGGCCAATCCCGCTCACACTTTGGCCAAGCTGTTTAATCAGCTGGTATACGGTGAAAGATGTTTGAATTTTATTCCTCAAGGCTGTGTTAATCTACTGACATGCCAAAAACTTTTTTCTTGGCACAAAGGTCGGCCCGTTAATGTTGGTCGTCGAGAATATGCAAGCGCGAAAAATCGTTACAAGGTAAAGACTCAGTGTAAATATATTCAAACTCCCAACCTTTCGGCTATGAATTCTAGCCTTAATCAGGTGATAAAGACAATTTACAAAAAGCACGCATTAAATAGAAAATTGTAAATTTGAAAAATTGTTTTTAA